AAAATACTACAGTTAAACCAGAAAATTTTGCCAAACAAAACACAGCTTTTCCACATTTTTATTCGATAATTCAACATTCGGATGTATATGGTTTTCGGGAAAAGTATCTTTGGAGTCGGAAACAGTTTCCGAATTAGGCTTGTTTTGAGCGATGTTTTTTAGCGACTCTATCTTTGACTACCTTACTTGTATTAAAATTCGAGTCGTACTCATTTTCGCTCAGCTTTAAATTCGCGCGATTTAATTTCGCGCACTTTGTTGACAATTATTCGCGCAGCTTTAAATTCGCGCAAGTAGTTTAATGTGCTCGTTCTTTTTGGTTTGTTCAAAAGAACTATTAATAATTAACCTAAAGAAACGTGACTCATCATTGACTATTGTGTTGGAGAAATGGAAAGCATTTGCATCGTGTGCAATTATTTAACAAATTACACTTGTCTAAAATGCAAATCATTTGTTTGTAACCGAGGAATCAAGTGTTCAATCCCTTCATCTGAAAACTATCCAGGATGGAAAAGTGGTTCGGGTGTTGCTTTATGTGAAGCGTGCGACGCGAAAGAAAATTACGCATCTGATTGCTTGCTTCAGGAAACCCACGATTCAGGAACGGATGATTCTAATTCAGTGAAACTGAGCCCCGAGGGGACATCGTTTTCTCTGGCTTGCGCATCACGAGGTTTTCATGAATACAGAAAAATCTGGGCTCCAAGAATCAACCAGCAGTTAATAATAAAACCAGAATCAGGAAACCTATTCGACCCATATGCTATTGGTCTGTTTACCAAAATCAGAGGCAAGATTGAACCATTGTCACTGGTCGGACATTTGCCTCGAGAGATTTCCCGATTTTGCAAGTTCTTTTTTGAATATGGGGGCAATATAGAAGCATGTGTGTGTGACATCAAATTTCGTCGATCCCCATTACCACAAGGAGGCTTGGAGATTCCTATTACCCTAACAGTCATGCAGAACAATGCAAGTTTTAGGATATACAGCAAAATGCAGGCATTCGTGACGGAATACTACGTAGAACCTGAGAATATCCCGACTGAAATTGCACAGGATGAAAATGAAGACATTTTTGATTTTTAATGTTACCAGGACAACTAAAAACATATGTCAATTTGTATGTGCGTTAATAAAACAACTGATTTGCATAACCAACAATGAATGTCTCATATTACACTACAAAGCTTTTCGCGCGGATTTTATTTCGCGCAGTACTAAAATTCGCGCACTCAGCGCTGCGCGAATTCTAGTACTGCGCGAATTTTAATACAAGTAAGGTATTACGATTTCAAACAAACCTAGGGAAACATTACATCCCGGGCGGAGAGAGAGGGTGCGTCTGCGATGCATTATGGTCAGTGTAGTGGATCATAGTTGATAATTATTGATAATCTTTGAAAACCCTAAGCATCTTTCACGATTAATAATCATTGATATGAATATTGGCTTTTCCCTTATTCGTTTAAGTGGCTTTTCCCTTCGAATAAAATCATGGATGAGATAAATGCAATGAAAAATTTGGAGATTTGTTTCATTAATGAACATTTCGATGGCGTGAACATTGAAAATGATTATTGTTTATCGAAAAATGAAGAATTGGAGGCTGTTTTGCAGAAACTTCAAGCAATTAATTCTATTAGCTTTGTTACCGTAGAAAATCATACGAAAGAGATGAGTAATAAGAGATTTACTCAAGCAAGTAAGTGCGTACGCCAAAAAGCCGTAAACTGTATGTTTGACTTCGTCAATCTTACATCCAAGCAACTTAAATGAACACGGATAACATGAAACCAATCATGCTAATGTTAGTTAGGCCGCAAGCAAGGTTTACAAATACGTGTCTGAGGATGACTTTGAAATAAAGTCGAAAATTTACAGTTCACTTCTCGTGTGAACTGTAAATGTCCTGTTTTTTCAGAATTTGTTTTATATTATATTTTTTTAAATCGTTGGCTGGTCAGAATTTTTGGACAAATACATGTGTTGCTTGAAATAAGATCCCGACGACGCAAATACGCTTGAATAATCCCACTTAACACACTTAATTGAAAATATCGTTTTTTCCAAAAATGGGTTAATTGGAAAACATGAAAAACAATGATCGCGCAGATGTTGTAACTCAGCTATAGAATGAATTACAATACATGTTCTCGTAGATCATGCAGTTTTTGAAGACAAAAGAGGATATCTTCCAATTTTGTTTTTTGGCAAGCCATTCTCTATAAAAAGCACAGAAACGCGGCATTGTCTCCATGGACCTAATAAGGTACGTAAATCAACATCAATGATCAATCACCAGACAACAACATCAAAGATATAAAAAACAGTCTTTTTATCAAAAATTTCTAGTTATTAACACTGCCTATAAAAATGTTTGTAGAGTTAACTATTAAAAAATCTTATTCAGTAAGAAAGAGAATTACATTCGCTATACATTAAAGAAGAACTATTTGGGCTTTTTACATATATATAGCGGGTAAAAAATTGCGTTGCTTTATTACACATCCAGGATGGAAGAGGAGGTTATAGTGTACAGTCAGTGGGAGACCACGAATATGAAAAGAAACAGCGAGTTAGACTACAAAACAGTCAAAAACTCCAGTGACCTACAACTGCAAATTCGCTGCATCGAGATTTTTGATGATTACTTCATGGACAAAAACGCTTGTCAATCCAACAACGCCATAAAAGTTGCCAAACGTACGCTTCTAACTAAACTAAACGAGGCCCTTAATAAAGAGAACGCAAAAGTCCGTAGGTCCACGCGATTTTACCTAAGGATACCGCTAAGCTCTGCTCACCAAAAACACCCAGTGGGAACTGAGTTATCAATTGGCCAATACGTCGATTCACGTGTCGTGAAAAAAATCTATGATTTGGTCGAACAAAATATTACCAGCGTTGCTGAAGTAAAGCGATGGCTGGACAATTTCGTAGAGAACGATCTATTTCGAGATGTTCCAAAACACAGGTTCCCAAAAAAGCAAATCGACGATACTATCCATCCCGGCAAGACATTCGAAATCACATTGGTAGAGCCATTTCTTCTTTCAAATCTTGCGACGATGACCAGGAAGCACTGGCAAGGAAAGTTGACGAGTGGAAAGCAAAAGATCCCACTTCGAATTTTTTTTATAGGATGCGAGAGGAAACGACAAAGAGAAATAACGACAGCGATAGAGTATCCGCAGAGCAAAGCTTTTTGTTTGTTCATCAAGAACAATGGCAGCAGCGTTTGTTGACAAGATATGGATACGAGCTTGTTTTGATGGATGCTACATACAAAACAACGAAGTATGCGATACCCCTGTTCTTCATTTGTGTTCACACAGATGTTGGCTACAAAGTCGTGGCCGAGTTCATGTGCCAAGCAGAGGACAGAGAATCTATCAGTGAAGCTTTGAACGTTGTCAAATCATGGAATCGTGATTGGACCCCTAAGTATTTCATGGTCGACTATTCAACAGCCGAGATTGTGGCGATCGAAGAACAGTTTCATGACATAACAGTCTACATCTGCGATTTCCACAGAATTCAAGCCATGCAAAGATGGTCGAAAGCAAAGAAGCACAACCTAACACCAGAAGAACAGGAAATGTTCCTGAGCCAAATGCAGAGAATATCATTTGCAAGCACAGAGAGTGAGTATGATGCCGAAGTCACCAACTTACGGAAGTCTGGATTCTATGAAAAAGTTAAAGAATATACTGAAAACACATGGCTTTCGTGTTCGGCACGTTGGGTCCATGCGTTTCGAACACAACAAGCAGTGAACGTCGTCAACACTAACAATGGCACAGAGGCAATGAACAAGCTATTTAAATACGAATATTTACCAAGATCAGTGGATAAATCTGTGTATGGCATTGCAATCACAATTGTAGAGTGTTTCATTCCTGACTCTCCCCAGGGCTATATGCAAAAAAACCTTATGTTTCGTAGTGCATATGCAATGTATAACAAAAGCGTTCCAATTTATTTAAGAGACAGACCTCCACAATTCGTAAAACATTGCCTTAAAAGTCGTTATGCCGCCACAGAGTACAATACCTCTGACATTTCAGCAGTTAATTTCCAAAAGGGGGAGTTTCATATCAGAAGTTTAGCCAACCCACGTGAAAGGCATCTTGTAAATTTGAGCAAACCAGAGTGTTCTTGCAAAGCTTGGAAGAAGACTCATTACCCTTGCAAACATTTTTGCAATATTTTCCGCCAATCTAGAGTGGAGTTTCGACTCTTTGCCTGATCACTACAGAAATAGCGTTTTCATTACACTTGATAATGAACATTTCACCATTATAAACTATGATATTTCAGAGAAAACAGCAGAGGAGAAATCAACAACCATAGAAACGCCGGAAGACACCAAATGCGACATCGAAAGCACTGCAGATAAATCCGAAAAGTCTTTTCATCCTGCTTTTAATTCTAAATTGTGCGAAGGAAAATTTCAAAATCACGACACACCCAAGTTGAGAAAAGTTCTTCATGAGAAACTGGATGCTATAAAAAACACGTCCTTTCTCGTTGATAAAGTTGGTGATCTTCAAGCAGCTATAGAATCGGTAGACAAAATACACCAGAAACTAATATCTTCTTGCCCAAATGCAAACGGAATTCTGCTTCGAAGTAGTCCGGTGAAAAGAAACTAAAATCAATAAAACAGAATACCATCAAGTTTTCCACAAAAGCCTACCAAAACGAAAAAATGGAGAAAAAGGATTCACTAGCTCAGGTACGTATGATGTAGTGAAGCAAGATCACAAGCAGAAGTTAAGGGGCCGTATGAAAAGACATTGCTAAGTATTTACTAAAATAATTATAATCAATATATCGTTCACCATCGGGTATGATTTTGTTTCTGTAGAAAACTGAAAAAATACCCATTTGCATAATTGAAGGGATTGAGGATGATGCACTATACAATTCAGACATTGTAGTCGCACAACGTACTAGCTTCCCGCAAGAAGACTTTGACGCAAATATGGGTTGTGGTGATCATTCCCAACGGTAACGTATAAATCAAATGTCCATTTTTATACAAATTATTGGATAATTCACTAGTATTTATGGTATATAACAGCTTTAAATATCCTTTCTTTGAATCAAGCAGAAAACACGAACCCTTGTCAAGATTAATAAATGCAACAAAGATGGGGTTCAAATTGCACGACGTATTGTTAGATTTCGGGCAGACACAACTAACACTCGGCGATTTGTGGACACTTATTCCGCCTAAAGTGGCACGTATGCACAGTTTAGAGACATCGTCATTAACAAATTTCCATCCTGGTTGGCTAATTGATAAGGTTGGTAAGCGTCTAGGCTGAATAACCAGTGAAGACAGGGGAGATAGAAAATGGTAGCTATGGGGGCTTTCGTCCCTTTATATTTAGGGGGCATCCCCCCTGTTTTCTTATAGTAGGGGGCACCCCCCCTACTTTAAGAAAACAAAATAACATAATGAATCTTACTAGGAATAATTTCATATCACCATTAGGTAGTAAAACAAAAATGGGCTGTAATAGAATCGTTTTCTGTCTCGTATTAGGTATTGCTCGTAACAAACTACACTAACGTGGTTATTTCTGAAAAATTAACCCGCTCGTCATTTGCTGCAGCGCACCATACTTTGAATTTGCGATTGAATCTAATGTACACAATATGTAAAAACATGATGTTATTGCCAAATTTTTCTTCCCTATTGATGCCCCTGACTGCCCTGAGTGAAGGTATAAAATATACGAACATGATAGAGCGTAGGATTTGCGTGACTAAGGAAAAATGGTTCTGAAAATACACTGTTACTAATAAAATGTACATATTAAGTCTTTCCTCCATACCAAGTTAGTGTTCGTTCATTTTCAGGTGGTGGAAGCATCTTTGTGGATGTTGACTTTGGAATATAATGTTTTCGCTGCAGATGCATCTTTGACAACAATAGCCAAACGTGGGGCTAGCACCCGTTTGCTGTGGTCTGGCCAATGTTTTTCTTCTGTGTCAAAATATTTGTTCCTATTAACGAGTATGGTATTCATTGGACATTGCTGGTGAGCAAATGTAGTAACTACTACATGTAACAGGGAATGCAGAGTCAGGGAGGGTGGAGGTGGGACTATGGCCCTCAATTTTGAAAATTTTAGATTTGTCTTTGGATCCAAATCTTGCAACTATTAACTTTTGCATCTTTAGTGGTGGATGGATACATACCCCCCCTCCCCCCCCTTAAAGAAAAATCTGCTCTGTGGTCCTCGCATAAGAACACTGAAAGATTTACTCTTTTACTCTTCAAGACTGAAGGAAATTTTTTCTACCATCATATGAATTATTTATGACAATTTATATAAAGAAAGAATTTTCCACTTATTTCTGACTTTGCCAATAGGTAATTGACAAATCTAAGAAAATACGATACTTCATTGACCCCATGAATGGACAAAAGGAAATAACAATTGATTTTCAAACACACCCGCATCTTATGGACCTTATAGACAAGGCAAGGTTTGATTACTTAAACAAAGATTTAAAAAAATATTGTAAAGGTGTTTACAAGGCATAACAGGATTTTCTTTGAGGGGGGTAAGAGGCAAATTACTTGCTTCCTTGCATGGTATTAAGTACAAATTAGAATCATTACCTAAGACATGTGAATGTAATTGGTCTAATATAAATAGGGAAGTAAGTTTGAAGTTTTTACATTATGCAGAGCAGAGAGATATCTTAAGTATCAAGTTTGATGAAAAAGCAATACTTAAAGTACTGCTACTGTATTTTTTTTAGTGAAATTGCTGACATGAAAACTGGTTGGCATTCTCAATTTTGGTCATGTATCGAGCCATTACATTTCTCACAGCAGGACAGCTTTAATTGTGGTGTACTCATTTGCCTTGTAAGTGAGCACTCCCACAGAGATTTTACAATCCATTCTATTAATTTATACATTGCTCATTTCTTGTAGTTATGGCACTAGATTTCTACAAAATGCAAACCATGCCTACAAATCACAATGCATATAAATATATATAATTATATATATATGGTTATTCCTGTACATTAATTTTAACAATTTCCTTTTCACAGTTTGCAAGGTGTATTTGTGAAAATTCAAGCCTAAACAGAAATTTTAAAATGGAATTAGAGAGAGAGAAACTAATATCACTCATATTTGGCTCTTGCTATGATGATATTCATGAGTATGTTTTAACCAAAGTCTTTAAAGCATTATACAGTGGATGAGAAACTTAAATTCATTTTAAATTCATTTCTTTGTTTTGCTGTAGACGAAATACTGGTGTTTGCAAAATCTGCAAAGATAATGATGGTGAAGACTGGCTTGGATGAGACAAATGCTTTCAGTTTTTCCATTCGAGCTGTTTAAATTTAGACTTTTCTGCTGCCCTCTCCAACTATTTTGTTTGTCCATGCTAAAATTATTGGCATTGATATCATACAAATGTGTACATTTATCATCTTTACATTAAATAAGTTTCCAAGGAAACAGGCAAACAGTCATAAGTGCTTCAATGATTGTGCTGGATTTAGAAGAAGTAAACTTGAATAGGTAGCACTTAAAGCTTAGCACAACTTTGTCATAACGTCCCATCCATTTCCTGTATTCTGCTTACAAACCTTTTGCATTATACACTCTAAAAGCATGGTTGTAGTTTCTTAATTCAGTTGCTTAACTTAAAAGTCAAAAATTGATTACAGTTTAAATACAAAAACAGTAAATACGAAAAGGAGAATACATACGTAACATACCTGCTTTTGACGAGTGCAGAACAAAGTTTTCGTATTCAGCGATCAATTACGTAGCATGAACAACTCATACAACATGTACATCGTTTTTTGCTGACCCTCTAATCTTATCTTTTATCATTTTCAATTATAAACAGTGAACTGTAATTACAACATTGTTGTTATTACAGTTCACTGAATATAAATCATTGGGATAAATGGGATTAGTTGAATAATACCATTTTATCCACTACACTGACCATAATGCATCGCAGACGCACCCTCTCTCTCCGCCCGGGATGTAATGTTTCCCACAAACCTATGCACGTGTAGGACAGGGAATGTTCGTACTTTCTTACATTCTTTCTTGTAATCTAACATCCAGAAGCTCAACATATTTATTTTGGCTCTATACCGTAATAATTTTTGATAGATATTTTGTATTTTGTGATGATTGAGGACTGTGCAGGGCAAAAAAACGATGTATTGTCATGTCCAGAGAGTGGGAAAAATAGCTGCGTTGGAAGTATCGTGGAGAGGCTGGAATGCTCGTACAGTAACAAGTCTGAAAGATTTCTGTTGAAGAAGAGAGATTTCAACAGACAGTATGCACATATCTATTCAGTGAGGTTAATGGAAATGAGAAAAGTGGCCGCTTTAGCTGCACGTAGAAAATGGGGTATGTTTCTTCCACTGATATGTATATTACCCCTTACACTGGATAACGCACAGTGTATAAAATATAGTACGAAAATTGAAGCCGGAAGTTAGCTCATTTGCTTATGACCTTTGTTGGGGGTATCGGATCCAATTTACTATATTTTTGTATTACAAAATCACAGTTCTGCGTTTTTATTCATTCTACAAAGTTTTGATTCGAGCAAAATTTTTATGAAAGGGACAGAACGACTGGCAAAAATAATTCTAAGAAGTTTGTCTTCTTGGCTTTAAAATGGCAGAAAATTGAGATGGTACAAGGTCGACTGCATTGTTTTGAAACAAACTTGAGATTATATGATGCTGCTGCTTCTTAATGCAATGACATTTATGGAAGATTGCTACAAATTTACACATCTAACAACACTTTCTTTTGTGTTGTTATTCACATCGCAAAGATCATAATTTCAAATTACGTCTTTATTATATCAGTGAAGAAACAAAAAAAATTGACTTAGACAAATAATTAGAAAGACAATTTGATGAACAATAGTAAGTTGAAAACAGTATCATCAAACTCTACCAGATGTACATCATCAAAATATACGAAAGTACTCCTTTGTGTTGCATTAAGCATAGCAAACTGTTAAACCAGTTCCTTTGCAAACAACTTCAATATCGATGAATATATTGAAGATGCATTAGATAAAAAAATGATATAATATTCCTCATTATCTTTTGTTTTGAATGCATTCGACTCATGTAAAATGTGATGTAGAAAAAGGCCTAAATGTATGCAAATATTTGTTATTCCTACAAAACTGCAAAGCTATATAGATTCATTTCAGTTCAGTGTTAGATTTAAATTCACAAACAGAGTGCTGTAAGTCTGTATGAGTAAATAATATCGTACATCCTACAAAGTACAAGTTGCTAGTACCGTTCGCTGGAACGAGATGTAAATGATATTTGTGATCGTTTGCCATCCTGCATTTGAAGAATACCTCGAATTTTACATCACTTTAATTTACTCAGCAATTCATGATAGAGATTCAGTCAGGAAATTAAATGTGAAATGTCATGCAAAATATCAATGAGGATACGTATAATATATAGTAAATGCAATAATAATATGACTCCAGGGCCCCTGACTAAATTGTCAATGCATCAGGCCTCCCCACAGATCCATAAAAACTAGAAGTTTCCTTGGCAATTGAGGAATTGACCATTCAGAATGCTATGATTTAACTTTTTGATGGATCTGTAGGCTGGCTATTTTTGAGGTAAACATAGGCGACCTTAAAAAACGGCTTAGTTCCCAGGCTCATTAATTCAGTTTCTTTTGTTTCGCTTGACTTAGCCAAAGTAAAATACGTCAAATGAATGGACCGTAGAAATGAAACGGGGAAATTGTCTCAGTATGAATAAATGATTAGACAGTATTTAACTAGCAAAATTTAATGTTTTTCGGCATTTTGTACGTTAGTCTCATGACTGAGTTGATTTCCCCTAGATTCACGCCTGATCCAGGCTAATATAAATATGAGTGGTTTCTTCTGATAACTATTTCATTTAAAATTTGACAAGAAAACTTTTTGTTGTTTAGCTACTGTTTTATCCACATTGCTACTATAATTTTCAATTTTCGTTATTACAATTGTTAAAAATAAATGTGGTAGTAAAAGCAGATGGTTATAACCAGAAATTCTCAAACTCTGACTATCTCCATTTACAAAAAGGGCACTGGACAAGAAATATTTTACCACTGTGCTGTCTGACTTTGGAATGATTTCCCTGTAAACATTTAAACAAACACCACCTTAAACAGTTTTTAAAGAAAGCTTCAAACATGTTTGATTTGAACTTTAACTTATAATTTCCAAACTTAATAATTAATAATTTTGTAGAAGCACTATCGTGAACATCATTCAAACCTTGCAGTTTTCTATTTTTTGGAAAAAAGACTTTTATTGAACAAAAATGTCAAAAAACCTGTGTGTATAGCTTGTTATGAATAGTTTCTTCACTTCATTATGTCATTGTTCAGTTACTGTAGTGTTTAATGGCCTTTTTGAAAACACCACAATGAAAGTACCTTCAACAAAACTACAAAGGTCAAACAATTTTAAAATTATATTGAAATCTTTACTCTACCAATGATGTATGATTAATTATAGAAAAAAGTACTTCCAGTTTACATCTGCGACTCATAAATGTGGCAGTAATTTTTTTGTTGAAGCTTTAACAATCAACGGTTTGTATGTGTTAACAGTTTTAGTGGGAGGCTACCCTCTTTCAGACAGTTGGACAAGATTGCGGACAATTATGCTTATGCGTAACATGCATGATGTAGCTATCTAAGATGGCAATATAACCGAGCAAAAGACAGATAGGATATTAGTTCTTGCTTAAGAAAGTTAAGCCTGAGTGATTGATCTTGTGCGTAAAGAATGCAGCACTGAAGGCCCTTTTAAAATATGTAAACAAACTTGAAATATGTCAATGTTGTAATTTTTTACCGTATAATCAATTCACCTTGTAATTCACCAATGTGCTTTACTGTACACTAATCTGTTTGTATTTTCTAAAAAAACATGTCGATATACAAAGCAGCTAGTCCACAAAAAGCTCAATCTGTGTCATCACAAGATTGAGCTTTTGCAACGAAACTGTTACTCTAATTGCTTACAAAGTCTTCGTCAGAGAGGGGATCGCTTTTTCTATTTTCTTCACTCTATAATTTTACTTGTCTAGATTACAGCAATGCATCTAAATATGTCATACAAAAGGGAAATTACATATTTGTGCATATGAATTGCCTTTGAAGTAGCACCACAAAAATGGCAGAGCTTACAACAAAGAAAAACACTTCCTTTTCATAACCCGATCTAGTCTCTTTCATTAATTATTTCAATCAAAATGTCTAAAATATCCAAAGCAATATCCCCCATCGTTCTGTAAACATTATGTCAAAATCAATATTCCCCATCTTTCTTTGAACATTTTATCCGATACAAGGAAAGAGAAGATACTGTATCCATGTTTTTGACAACAGCCCACGTTGAAAAAAAAATTAAAAAAATAACAATGAAAAAAAACAAAAAAAAACATAAATAAGAAAGAAAAAAACGAAGATCAATTTAATTAAACAAAAACATCAAGTTGAATATACTGTTTTTTTCAGACGCAGTAAGTATCAGAAAAACTGTTGAGTTGAAGGTTGGAGAAAGATGCTGCTTGATTGGAACTCTTTACAAGAAGATGGAACTAAAGCCTTCCATATTAAAAGAGCTGAGTATTGAGGTTGTCTCTTATTTACAGTGATTGTTTATAATACATGTACATTTTTTGATCACGTTCTCCCCGTACTATTGTTTACAGAGCGGTTAAACCTCTTTAATTTGACCACATTCTTCTTAATGTTGTTTTTTTTCTGTTAAATGTAATTGTTTCCTTCCCATGCTTTGATATCTTGCATAAACAGGCATTTTTCCGTATGTATGGGCGGCTGTTACCACCAAAAATACCGCGCGTGTGAAATGAAACAACGTAAGGTGAAACGATTCAACACAAACACGAATGACTCATCGTGTTTAAAAACAATTGAACGTCGTTCACTGAATTGATTAGACATGTTAAGAAATGATTTGTCTTGTCATGAAATGATTCGATTCACATTGAAATGATTCAACTACTTTTATCTTCATTTAACTAAACAATGTGATATAACTCAACATGTTTTGCAGTAATTTAACATATTGTATTGAAATGACTCGTTTAGTTTGCAAATGATGCATTGCGTTTTGAAACGATTTGTTGTGATCCAAAATAATTCATGAGAATGTGAAATGATTCAATTTGCTGTGAAAAAATTCAATGCCATTTCAAACGACTAAACGTTGCTAGAATAGCGATGATTCGCCGTAATTTGAAACGATCAATTGCTGTATAGCGAAATGACTCAACTTGTTTTGGAATGAAGTAATTTTTGTGGTCTTGGTGCGAGCTGTTGGGAAACGATTCAACAAGATGTGAAATGAATCATTGTGACGTGAAACGATTCGATGAAATGTGAAATGATTTAGCATATTCTCAAATGACTTAATGTAATGTGAAGTGATTCAATTTGAAGAGAAGCGATTCAATCTAATGTGAAATTATTCAACGAAATGTGAAGTGATTTAACGCGATACGATGTTTTGCTACACTGCTTTGTGAGTTAAACGAGTCTTCCTTAAGTTAAAGTTAGACGTAACAGTTTGTTATTGAGCTAAGGAGTCACGTGAGGTATGTGTGCGAAGCATAAGCAAGGTCACACTAGCTGAGGGTCATGACAGTGCGCCATCTACGTGGGCAAGGTACATATTCGTCAAACATGTGCCACCAAGTCACAAAGTCTACGTTAAATTTTAAATCAAGGTAACTTCTTTGATTTCTATAACTGTAGCGGCTAAGTGTACTGGGTGATGATGCCAAAAAATGGCTTCCAAAGGACCTATTTCCGCTGAAATGACTGCCTTGAAGAAAAAAATATTACCGACCTCTCCCTGGAGTCTAATGTCCATTATGTAGAATTTTTCAAAAACAAACACGATATCTTTTTGGCATTTCTTTTATAATGCCAACCTTTAATGGTTCAATTGGTGGATGTCGTAGTTTCCACAAAATAAAGCATCTCGCTTCTCACTTGTGAGATATTTTCTTCTTTTGTTTGTTCATCAAAGATTGAAAAGCAATTATACACTAGAAAATACATAAAATCCGTAAGAATTAAGATCTTATTTTTTTAGGACTGACTTGAACGTCAAATATACTGACGTTTTCCTGTTTTGTTTTTCAAACTCAGCATACTTTTCTGTTATTTGTTAATGTATGAAATCGTAAATTTACCAATCTATATGCAAAATAGTTTCCCTGACACAAAAAATACCCTGCAAATTTTACTCAATGGATAGATAGCAAAAAGAAACGATCAGCATTTTTTTTGCTTTACACAAAAATATTGAGCTGGTTTGCGTATTAGAGTACAAAATGGACATTTGTCATTTGCATTATTTGCTGCTTTTTTTAAAGAAAACTGTTTGACTTTTAAAAGTTTTTCTTCAATTTTATGCTTCTATCTTTTCATGAGATGGTGAAATAGAGGTAGTATGAATTAATAACTTTATAATTTCTAAAAAGCTTTTAAGCTTTTACCATAAAAGTACACAAAATCGATTACCAGCCGACAATTTTATGTAGTATAATATGAAGCATACTCCGAATAGAAGACTCATGTTTAATGCAATATTTCGACAATGAAATTTATAAGCAAACAGATGGAGTTTCAATGGGCTCCTCTCTTGACCCCATACTCGCTAACATAATCCTAACTGAATTTGAAAAAGCCATCATTTCCGATTTATAATTGATTCCGGTACAATAGTTGATGGCACGGACATTCACCGCAGACACACTCACAGGCCAATACACCCACTTCTAAAGTTTTGAACCCTTTCACCAGAAAACAGCTTGGATTAGATCGCTTTTTGATCCCGCCTCTAAAATTTGTACCAATAAATACTTTTTCGATAACCAGATTAAAAAGTTTAAAACATTTATGTCGTGGAATGATTATCCTACTTTTGTCAGAAACTCAATCATTAATAATTTCAAACACATAAGTACACAAAAGTACATAAAAGTACACAAAATGTGTTTCACTCATTTAGTTTTATTGTCTTGCTTTAACATATCTACATGCACTTCATCATTCTTGTTTGAACACAACATCAGACGAGGATACCCATAGAACAAGATCCAGTAGCAACTGCTTATGAAATTTATCATTGAGGTAACAACTATATTAATCATTCAAATTGTTTACTTACATTGCAAATATAGGAAAGACAAAACAAAGACAAAAAGAAGAGTAGAAGTATTAGAAACACAATTGAATTATAAACACCATTCCAGGCAGAAGTGTTTTGATCATTAAATAAGCATTTTTCCCAGTTCGTACATCAATACATTAAAAATCAAAATGTGCTACAACTTTACGAGTATTTGATGCAGTTGCACTTCAGAACACCACAAAAAAGTTACCTAGATGTTTGTATACATTATTTGTTTTCATTTATTAAATTTAAACTTATGCAAACTTGAGTCTTTGAAATTTAATATGAACTTCAATTAGAGAAAAGCATGTACATTTAGTCAAGCCGTAAATATCCAAAGACTTATTACTTATTTTTATAAAGCAAATAGTACAAATACTACAATTGTGGCGAAAAAAGCCATTACCCATTGTATGAAAAGAAGCAAAAAAGTAATGATTTCGAATAAGCTAACTTTTCTCTCGTGAACCGTCGAGATAAACTATGACTAAACTTTTTTGTTCAGACTAGAGAGTTAAATCGAGCCAACAAGTTTGACGCTGGTAAAAAAACGACGAAAATCTGAATTCAAATTTGCTTAATTTAGCCTACAAATAGCTCTTTCGTCAATAGTTATAACTAGGGATCCAAGGATATTGCAAAGTTTCTTAGAAAAAATGTTCCTAATCGTGACAAATAAAATTAGTTTCAAGAAAGCTTAGTATCGAACCTTGGCGTTTCAAAAAATGCTAAACTGAATACATTTCGAGAAGTGCTTATCAAAGGCTAAGCAGTTTGTTTTTTGACGAATAGCTACAACTTGCTCCAAGATTGCATAAATAAACGTTAATTTGTATTTTCACTTACGTTGCGGATACATATCTTCGTCATTCATGCATCACATTCTTTTATCATTACTATGCAGTACACAATATATAAATTACGAAATCAGTCATGATTTACTTCTTTGTTTTGTTTATGTTGCATTTTTTTTATTCTTCGGACACATATGTGAAGTTGAATGTGTTCAGAAGAAATAACTGCTTTGTATGCGATATTTTTAGCGCTAATTTCCACCTTAAATAATAAGGCACCGAGTAGTAAAATGCATCGATGTTCGCTAAATATTTACGTCGTATAATTTGCATCAGTTGATGAACAAGTCCAGTTTTGGCAAGTTTGCGTGAATGGACATTCATTTCGTATTTGCACTTTCATAGCGATTACATGAAAGTCGACAAAGTCACACAGTCGTACATGACTTTCTTATATTGTTCTAAAGCAATCCACACCTAATGCTTTTTTCAAAGACAGTAATAGTGCACTTTTTTCTTGTAAAATGTTCCTTACCGAGGCAGATATGTGCGCAACTTTCAATTTTACTGTCGTATGTTTAAGACCAATTCACCAGCACGTAGTGTATGAGTGTAGTCAGGTCAGACGTTCAGAGCAGGTTGCTAAATAATCAGCGCTAGCCAACTACTTGGGAAATACGGCAAGACGGCGAATTAAAGTTTTTTGGATTTCGGAATATTCTATTTCCCCTGACTGACTGACTGACTGACTGACTGACTAACCGACTGACCAACTGACCGACTCGTGTGAATTTTCGCCACTCCACCACAATACTGCAAAGTTCCCGTGAAAACTTTGCACTAAAAAGCATCCTCCTAGGAGCGGATAACTGATAAACACAGTTGACTCGCTGTTATAAATGTTAGGTGTTTACCTTGATTTTCATCATAAAATTGCTTGCTAATGCTAAATAAGCACATACTTTTTCCTCGCGCTTTCTTTCGTGGGGGGAGTAAATCTCAATGGCAGAGGAACAAATCCGCCATTTTTTTGGCAACAGCCGATATCTAAAGCCGCGATTGAGAGAAACGCTCAAGTTATTGTAAAACTCAATGGGTAACTCTCGTTTGACTTACAGTTCTTCTAAATTATTGGTTATTTTCGGTTAGGAGTCACGTGAGACTTCATGGCGTCATGACCCTCATTGGTACTTAAATATACAAAAAACTGAGGTAAATAAATTCGTGTACATGATGTATTAGACTATGAGCAGTTTGTCTAATCAACCAATTTGTTAAACTGATAACATTACTAACACAAAAATATCAACGTTCAAATTCAGTTTTGACTTGTTACTGCTGACAGCAAGTCATAGCCGTAATTGTGTGTCGAGTCTATCACAGTTTTGTGATAAAACTTAATAAAAGTGGCTTCTCCATTCAGCGGCAGCGAGTATTTGGTTCGTGTATATATTTTTTCGATAAGCTCCCGAGGTAGATGCTTCTTTAGTGCTCTGAGCCCCATATATATCAGTGTTTATTCCATGCAGCTTTTTTCATCTGTGTTGATTGAATAACGACGTATCTGATTGCCTACGAGAATCTGGGCATGGTTTCGTCGCAGTGTTGCAGTCTTTTCCAAGTAGAAGCTAAG